ATTATACATATTAATTTTTAAATTGATCTAATATCTATAACCATTTAATTAAGAAACTTATGTTTTTTAAAATATATTTAACTGTGTTAGGTTTTACGTAATTAAGGGTTAATGCCAATTATCGTCCCTCTACTATCAAAAATAGTTCAATTTAAACATTCTACTTTCAAGTCGCCTCATGTCATCCCTTTATTATGAATTAACTGCGTATGTCCTCCCCCTACTATTGGAAAATGTATTGATGTCGTTCAAGTTCCATTCAATTTTCAGTTAAGGGACGGTTTGTTCACTGTTAACATTAACTTGTCCAGACATCCAACTGCTTTTTTTTTTGGTTAGATGTTAATTTTGGTCCCTCAACTTTATAGAGTTGCACTTTTTTGGTCTCTTAATTATTTTTTGCATTTTTTGATCCCCTAACTCTAAAAACTGCACAATTTTAATCCTTCCGTCAATTAAGTGACACCTGGTAGTTAAATATTCTAGAATGGCACTTTTTAATGATGTGGCAATGGCAGCTCATACAATTAGCTTAGGTGGAGTATGCCAAGTTAGACTTAATTGTTCTTTTTAATTTTTTTCAATTCTTTAAATATAAAATTACTAAAATGCCCTTAATTTATTCTTCTTGCCATCATTCTCCTCTGTGCTTTCTCTGTTCTCCTTCCCACCGCCATCATTTCCAACCATTTTTCCTCTAGTTGTCACTGTTTCTCTTCTCCCCTCCCCTCATCCCCTTCTTGGCCATGACTGGGTTCATCATGAACTTAGAAGGGTTCATCACGAACCCAGATAATTTGGGTTTGCCTCCTTCATCCTCTTTCGTTCAATACTCCACAATTAAAAGCAACATAAAATTTCAAAAGAAATGCCACTGTTTCCTCCATAAATTTACTTTACCTTATTTCTATCCTTTGCGAAAACCATGTCTGAATCATCATGAATGAGAGAGTAAGCATACATCTTCTTGCATAAACAAAGAATTAATAATGAACATTGTGGTGAATTTGAAGGTTTAAAAAGCAGTAAGAAAACAAACCTAAATGAATTTTCCAGTAAGAGGAGATGTGCTAGGGGCAACATAGCTCTCAAATTCTCGAGCTACATACTGTTGTACTCCTTCAGCTAATGTAGATGAAGACAACCTAGAAAACAATAAAATTTGACCAATCACATGACACAGTTTAGGGGTTTGTTAAGAAAATATGAAGTTCCAAACATCAAGATGACAAATCACATTTACCTAGATATTGTCTTGCTTCAAACTGGACTCTAACATAAATATATTCAAAATTTTTTGCATAATCTATGGCAATAAAGAAATGAATCTTTAACATGAAAGAACTATAAACCTAGTTGATAGTCTAAAAACATTCTCTTAGAAATTTCTAGACAAAAAGGTATCCCCCATTCAAAAATGTAAATTTCTTTTTTCATTTCATAAAAGGTAACTGGAACAAGAAGGCATTTCAAACCAAGTTCCTGGTGAACCCAGGGCAAATTTGGGTTCGCGACGAACCCAAATTGTCTCTGGGTTCTTCACTAACCTAGTCATGGCCAAGAAGGGGATGAGGGGGAAGAGGGAGGAAAAATGGCTTGAAACGGTGGCGATGGCAAGGTGAACAGAGAGAGCACAGAGGAGAACCATGGCAAGAAAAATATATTAAGGGCATTTTAGTAATTTAATATTTAAAGAATTGAAAACAATTAAAAGGAACAATTAAGTTTGACTTAGCATACTCCACCTAAACTAATTGTATGAGTTGTCATTGCCATATCATTAAAAAGTGCCATTCTGGAATATTTAACTGTCAAGTATTACTTAACTGACAGAAGGATTAAAATTGTGCAGTTTTTAGAGTTTGAGGATCAAAAAAGTGCAAAAAATAATTGAGGGACCCAAAAAGTGCAACTCTATAAAGTTGAGGGATCAAAATTAGCATTTAACCTTTTTTTTTTACATTGGGGCTTTGTGGGCCCCACCAGTGCCACATCATATCCCCTTTGTGCTTCTTCTCCCTACGCGAAGTTGCTAGACTTCTCGCCTCCGACTTGAGAAATGAGTTTCAATAATTACTGCCTCCAAATTTCCATTTTGTTAGTTATAATATGTTTGATTGAAGGTAATGAAAGAGATAAGAAGATTTTTCAATCGATTACTCATTTTATTTTAAAATGATTGTTAGTTTATTATTATTATTATTTCAAACTTATTTTAAATTAATTATTATTATTTTAAAATAAATAAATATTATTTTTAAAATTTAACTATATTATTATTTATTTATTTTAATTTATTTATTTATTACAAAAGATTTGACTTTATTTTTTCATTTTAATTATTTTCAGACAAGAAATATGAAAAATTCTCTATTTATGTTTCTTAAACTAAATATAGTATGATTAATGACTAAAACTTTTAATTCAAATTGAATATAAAATTCTTAACTAATTAAAATAATATTTTTAAAGAGCATTTTATAAGTTTTTATTGCCCACATTCTTTCTATTTTTCTCGTTGAGCTTATATATATATATATGGTGGAATTTTTGAGCTTATATCCAAAAGAATAATAGACAAAACAAATGAACTCCACATCATAATTTGACAATGTAAAGTAAGACTTTTAAAATTTGAATAAAGAGTACGAAGTCGTTTAGGAAATTTTGATTGCATGCATAAATAATACTATAAATGAAATTTTTAATTAAGAACTGAGAAACTCTAATAACAAAAGAGGGAATAAGATCCCGAATTTGCAAAGGATGGCTTTGGTTACTTTAGTCCCCTCTCTTCCCCACAAAATGCAAAAGACACACTCCCCTACTCTGCTAACATCTTTTGCTCATCCTGGAAACAATAAAAAAAAAAAAAAAAATCCAAATTAACAATTAAAACATAAAACAGAATGCAAGCAACACATGGGAAGTAGCGTCGGCCGTCTCAGGCACAACAACAAGACCATTGCTCGTCCTCAGTGGCCCCAGACTCGACGGTGGCGTTGTACTCATTCTCATTGCAATAATAAAACCCATTATTATTAGTGGCAGTCAGAGAGCAAGAAACCAGATACGGCATATTGCGGAAGGTCGAGCAAGGCTGCTGGCTAGAGCAGCGTTGGCCGTGCAGTGACCATCATCACTACCGGAATTGTTGTGTTCCGGCCCACAAAACTCATCCACACGGTGCTTCAGGGTGTCGAACATGAGCTCGGGCTCGTGCTACATCACTCGGAGGACAAATGAGTTCGAAGAGAAGAAAAAAATTTAGGGATTTTGATGCTTGCACAATGCTGGCTACTAATTTTGGTGATTTTGGTTGATTGTTGATGGTTTAATGGACTCTTTCTAGGGTTTATCAGAAAACGGCGAATGATATCGAAGAGAAAGAGAAAAATTGGGGATTTTGATGCTTGCACAGTGCCGGCAAAGAATTTAAAGGGCATCTGATGTGGCACTGGTGGGGCCCACAAAGCCCAAGTGTAAAAAAAAAAATAATAATAAAGCAGTTGGATGTCTGGACAAGTTAATGTTAACTGTCAACAAACCGTCCGTTAACTGAAAATTGAACGGAACTTGGACGGAGGGACGACATCAATACATTTTTCAATAGTAGGGGGAGGACATATGCAGTTAATTCATAGTAGATGATGACATGAGGCGACTTGAAAGTAGAAGGTTTAAATTGAATTATTTTTTATAGTAGAGGGACGATAGTTGGTATTAACCCCGTAATTAATGGATTAGTTAGATATTCAATTAATTTAAAAATTAATATATATGATTTATATTAATAAAATATTAATATTAATATTTAATTTTTTAAATATATTTATTGAATTGTGATGTCTTTAAAGTTAAGAATCCTATTTTTGAATGTTTTTTAATAATTCCTTAGAAGTAGTTGTCAATTCAGGCGAAATCGTAACTCACTATTGTGGAAGCAGAGTTTATTGGAAGAGGTAAAAAAACTTTGGCCATACCCAACGAGTCTGATGGTGGAAAGTAGGGACTTTGACCATACCATACCAAAGCGTGTCTGATGGTGGAAAGTAGTAGGGTGAGCACTGGAAACGTTATATCCGTTATTTATAAATATTTTATTTATTAAAATAAGTATTTTACCTAAGTTATAAAAAATTAAGTAAGTAATGAATATTAAAATAATATATTTATAAGTATCAAGTCAAGTAATTAGTATAAAGTTTAAAATTATTTACTTAATCTGTTTAATCGTTTTATTTAACTAATATGTTACATATACTTATTTAATTAAAATTTTATATATACTTATTATACTTAATATCTATATAATAAAAATAAATTTTAA